GTGATAACGTCCTATGTGTTAATTCACTTTCAAGAATGATTGAATAGGTCTACTTTAGTTGGGACTTGCAACAGGGTGCCAACCACAGGGTACTAGACTTAGCACACATTTGTCTGGCTCATTAGGATTTATTCTTCCTAAGATGTGGCTTTTTCATAGTCATAGCTTTGAAAATAAAGGGAGGATTCAAAGATTAAGGTAAAAAGAGAAAGTAAAAGGGTGGCTACTTCATATCCATACTTTTGATCGTTTCTGGTAGGTTTACTATTTTCCAGCCCTCTGTGCATGTGGCAATTCTCTTCATATTGTATCACATGAGTCACTTGTGGTCTTTTGATCCTGCAGACCTTAGAAGGCTAACTTGGAATTAAATTGCATTCTGCCCCTACCCACTTCCTGGCCACAACTTGTATGCTGTAAACATTCAAAGATAATTGAGTAAGAAGAGAAGTCTGATAACAAAGGTTGACCCTAAAAAAGTCAGTGAGAGGGAATGTGGTGATTAACCCTTGAGTAAACCTTTTGGTATGAAGGCACAGCCAAATGTGGACAACATTTTGGTTACAGCCTGGAGAGCTTCCATGCCTTTGGGTACATGATTCAATATTTGCTCATCAGTAGATCCTGAAGTTCAAAGCCATGATAAGTAGAGATCAATGTTGGCAATCAGAGGAAAGTGTAGGAAAGTTAATGAAAAATTAATCATTGTGTCAGAGGTTATGAAACCAACGTTTGTGACACGTAAGTTCTTACCTGCACCCTAAAAAGGGATAAAAGTGTATGAAGAAGTTCTGCATAATCCATGCCATGTCATACTCTCTCTATATTCTCTCTCTCTCTTCTACATATTCTCCTCCAGTTAGTGGCTCAGTAGCTTTACTGTGTTTCATCTCCCCCTTCCCACAGTGTGTGGTTGCTGTTGTTTTAAATCTGATGATTTCACTCTAAGATCATTGGGGCCAATGTTAATGTGAATAAATGAACATTTATAGCACCCAAGAAACTAGAATCTAATGGACCCCAACATTGTGTCAGTTTCAAATTGTCATTCAGCAATTAAAATTAGTACTTTAGGTTGATGTAGCATATAAGTCATATGCCTAAATAGCAAAAAGGCACTGGATCCTGCCTGATCTTGGAAGGTAAGAAGAATCAGCCCTGGTTAGTATTTGGACAGGAGACCACCAATGAATACCAGTAGGCTATATTTCAAGGGAAGGTACTGGCAAAACCATCTCTGAAGACTCCTTGCCTAAGAAAATCTTATGAAATTCATGGGGTTGCCATAAATTTACAGGGAACTTGAAGGCACATATACACAGCACTTAAGATTGTGTTA